TTGTCTCTTTACCTGTCTTCTTCACCAGACTCTGAGCTGTCAGAGTGGGGATGTGTATCTTATGCACACAGAATCCCCTGCCAGGCATCTCGCATGCAACATACACGTTCATTGAATTTGGGGGATAAAATGGTTTTAAAGCATTGCTTGTGGCATTATTAAATAAAATGGCATGTCTGCAGCATATAAACGGTGCCAGCAGTTTGGATTATAATACCAGCAAGGGGGTGATGTTAATTCCTGAATGCCAGATCCTCAGAGAACAATCAATATTAACCATCAACTTTCACCGTGAGCCATATCAGGGTTTTTCCGGTTACAAATACCTTTCTCAATATCCCAGCTCCGTTAGAGAAGAGAAATTAGGTAACCGTGACACTACTTTATAAACTGATTTATCAAGAGTCCTGCCTTTCCCTGCATAATGACTAAGTGCCTCACAGAACGTTAGCTGCAGATTTAACGTCACCATGGTTGTACTTTGCATGTGGATGAAGAGTTAACATAATGTAGAAATGTGAAATTAAACTGGTTGACTATCAGCAGCAGTCCTGCTACCATCCATTCATCTGTCCTCGTTATTTCATCTCTTGGCTTACTGTGTTTGCTGCTTGCTTCTATTACTCACAGAACTGTCAAGTAAGTCCCAGAGGATGCGCTAGCACACGGCTTCTAGAAAATAAGTGTTTGGAAAGCTTACATAATGGGACCAATGAAGCCAACATGCTCTCCACTGTAAAAAAGCCCAGTGTTCTCTTGCCTTGTTAATTGACCCTCAGCTTCAGAAGTAAGAGGGCGAATTCGAATGGGAAACACAATGCGAAAGCAAATTATCAGGAGACTGACTTGTAGATTTTTCTCACTTTAAATGATGCTTATAAGAGTAGAGAATACACGAGGCTTTATAGTGACACTGAATCCACAGTGGGAACTGTCTTGGGAAAGAAGAAATGACACAACAATTATTATTCTATTCAGAGAGTATGAGAAGCAGGGAGGCAAAGGGCTTTTCTAATGCAAAGTTTAGGAAAAAATAAAATACTAGGTAAGTCGCAGGAGATGAATTACTTTTTCTAGTTTTGTTTGCTCATGAGGTTACAACTGTGGTGAAACTTAAAAGTGCTTGTCAGTATTTTTCTTCTGGTAGGAAGATGAGCCAGGGAATGGTAAACCTGAGAACAGAGCTATAGCTGTCCTTACCAATTGAAATGTAATCTTGTGGAGAGTCAGGCGGAACACTCCAAGCATCACTTCGGAGTTTCTGGGTGGCCTCTACAAAGCACTGTCCTCTCCACACCCCTTTGCCCACATCTAAAGATGTGATGCCATCATCTATACCTTTACTCAAAGGAGCAAAATAAAAATAACTGTGCATTTACCCTCAGTACTGTGAGTCATTCAAACCAGAGACAAGGGGGATGAAAGGCATTTTAATCATATGTACCAGGGGACAAAATGTAATATGGGGATGGAAACAAGTATTTTATATAATTTGGCAAATTTTGGTGTGTGCTAAGTGACACTAAATAGCTGTGTCATGAAAACAAGTGGTACAGTCATGCCAGGTGATTCAGCAGAACTCCTTTCCAACATCTGCACATACACTTCATAATTATGCCCCATTTAATCTCCCCCTCTAGTCAAAGTTCCTTTCAGAACTGGTCAGCAGGGAAATCGATTTCTAGAATGAGACCTTTAGTTACTAACCTCAGAATGGATTCTCATAGGTATGAGCTGGTTGATATACTGCTTTGCTTGAAGCCTAGTAGATTCTTCCTAATTCTATAATGATCAGATTTTTAAATATTTTCCTCTAATAAATTTTTACCTTCATCAAGTACTTCAAATCTTGTTTGACCCAACAATGAAGAAAAAGTCAGGGACAAACCCTAGGGAATGAGCGCATAAAGAAAAAGCCATTGAAGAAATATATTTCTTAAGTTTAAACCAAAGCAAACAAGAAGCACATGACAATATATAGTCCTAATAAAATTTTATTGAGAACCAGTTAAGTCAAATCCTTTACGGAACACAGAAATGCATACAATTCCAGCCCTTTCCAATAAATGGCAATATAACATTGGTGTAGGATCCCTGAATATCCTACTCTGATTTGTACCTGTAGGAGAGAAACAGTTCTTCTACAGCTTAACAATGCAGAAGTGGGGTGCTCTGACCTATTTAGGGGGAGCAGTGGTGAAGTCAGAATTGAGTATGGATAACAGGATTATAGATGAGTTCAAGTAGCCAAAGGAGTAGATGAATTAAGGTTTACTCTTCACGTTTTGTATTTCAAACTCAGACAAGAGAAGGCAGGGCATTATAAGATTAGACACCAATTAACCTGAGGACTTATGAACAAAGTATACCTCTCAAGTTATGCGGGGAAGTTGTAATAAGAGAGAAGACGGCCGCTTTTACCTAAAACTCTACCTACCGTGAAGGCTTTTGATGCCAAATAATTGGAAGTGACATCAAAGATGAAAGAGGGTCAAATGACTCTAAGGATTAAAGACTGACTTCTTGATGGGACCAATAGGATTGATGTAAATAACTGATCGTGATGTTCACAGAAACACACGACAGGAGAAATGAATACTGCTTGACAAGGTTTTAAGGTTTCACTACCTAGTCTTTACATGGAGATAAAAGATACTTCTGAGTTTTCTGGGAAGCGATTTTGCGCAGTTTTTCGTCTTGTTCTGTTTTCTAACAAAAAGAAAAATATCTGAGGGAAAAATGATGTAATAGAAATAGAACTGAAATGATGCCTCTTCCTTTCAAAACTAAGAAAACTAGTGTAAAACTTTCAGTTTCTACCATGGTGTTAGGGTATTGGTCTGAGTTTTATAGCCTTTGCCCGAGTTTAAAATCCTATCAAACGTTCTGAGCTCTTAAACATAAATAAAACAAACAATGGCACAAATATAAAATCCTGCCAGTTTAATAACTTACAAAGCTAAAGAAAACAATGAAAACCGAATTGTGTTTGCATTGATAAATTTGTTAAGGGATGGCAGTAGCTACACAGCAATCCAAATAGGAATAAGAATCTTATTCAAAGTGTTCTTCTCCCTGCCTTGAGGTCTTCCTGGGGTTAAATTAATTAGATGTTTGCTGAAGCACTGTGATCAGTCTCCTCTGGTTAAGAGAAAGTGTTTTGTTCTTTTTCCCTTGGTTAGTAACTATAGTAGCTAAAAGTGCAGGTACAGTATAGTAAGACATTTAAACCAAACGGGGTCTGTTCTTTCAAGCTGGACACCCATCCAAAGGCAGATGAGCTTTCCTGTGGATGCTGACACTGTTCATGTGCAGTGTTCACGAGAAAGGCACAGCTTGCACACAGCTTGCCAGCAACACTTCAAAATCTGAGAGGCACAAGGTTGTCCCTGACTAGCATGAATCGGAGGAATAAGCTAATCCTGGGAACTGAGCAGTGGGCCGTGTTTTAGATCCTACTGTCAGTAGCCTTTAAAGGGTCAGGCAATTGCCAATAATATTAGCTATTTTGGTGCTAAATGGAAAATAGTAGGGGATTGCTATCCACAGGAACCAACATCTACTCAGTGGGGATTTGGCTCAAAGTTCCAATAAAAATAGCATGTTCTTGTGACCGAGAAAGCTGTAAAATAGGCACATTAAAAATTCTTAGAGCCTGTTTTCTTAAAAGCTGCAAAATGTTTCAAAATCAGTCAGAATACATAGAAAAGACAAAACAAGCCTGGGAAAGTCAGCAATGGAAGGAGGAGGAATGGGAGCTGATGAGTCAAAACATTTGTACAGAATTTGAAGCACCAGGGATTCCTCACCTACCTTATCAGTACCCATCCTGAGGGCTCAGAAATGGATGAGTGTTAAAGCCTAGGCTATGCAAAGGGACAAAAGCCATTTGTTCTAAGAATAATCACTGGATAATACCTTCTCAGGAACCAGCATTTCTATGGAAAGCTTAGCGATTTTGCAATATAGCAGCCCTCCCCCCCTTTTTAAACAAGTAGAATGCTCTACTATTTAGTGAAAAGATCAACATCTAGATAGATAGGAAGGAAAATATCTTATGGCTTGTACCAAGCAGCCAACGCTTTATAAAGCATAGTCATTGCAAAGTAAGTAAAACACAAATCAAAATTTAGAAGGTCAGTCAGAAAGGGTGGACTCAAATCCTAGGTCATAATATATTTACACACAGAAATCTCATTTCCTGATCTTACACTAATCCCAAAGAAGAAACAAATACACATAAGTAGTTCCAAAACATACTAGCTTATTTGGAGAAAACAAACAAACTTTTTGTTAGCTTATCTTGAAATAACTTTCAAATCAGAATTTTCATATAATGACCATCACATTTCAGAAGTTTTCGATAAAGATGTTGGATTATAGAGCCTGGATGCTCTACTAACAAAAAGAGGCAAATTTGAAAGTATGTTTATCTCTAGTTTAAATAAGCATTGTGAATTTGAAAAAGGGTGTTTAGGTCCCTAGCCCAGTTGGCAACTCTTGCAATTTTTGTCCTGGAAGCATATAGTTATATTCTTGTCCCTTTTCATAATCAACCACTTAGAGAAAAGCAAAGTCATAAAACTGTCATAAAAAAAAATACTAAAGAGAAGAGGTGGAGGTCAGTATCCAGCGATAAGCATGTATTTATCTACATTTAGTTTTTTTTAAACGTTTTTAGAACTGTAACAGATGGTCATATTCATAAGCTTTAGTAAGAATATGACTGCCTCCAAGTTCTGAAATATATGCATATATGCCCTCAAAATACTGTACGTATATCACCTGTCCTCCCTTTAGGATAAACTGAAGTTAATTTAGATTTCCCTGGATATTTTAAAATAAAAGTAAATAATAAAAAAAGGAACTGAATTAAAGACATATTCTGAAAAAAAAAAATCAACTAAATCAAGTACACAGTTTGACTCTATTGTTGCTTTAGCCCAGGTATGATATAAAGAAAGGCTCATGCAGTGAGTTGCACTGGGGGGACTTTCCTCTTACAGTTCAAATGCAGGAAACCTGGCTTTCGTGGGCACTAGGAGGTCAGCCAAGAAATAAATTGTTCCAGCCATTCCTGAAGGAAAAGAAAGAGGCACAAGTTATTACACCAAATGATGATGTATTATAGACTGGCTTCATTTTGTAGCATAAACGACATTATAATATTAATTTAAATGATTTAAATGAAGTGGGCACCTGTTTATATATGTTGCAGCTCATTAGACAAGATCACGAGTGAGAGGCTCAGCCTCTTTACCCAGGTGGAAGACAGGAGGGAAAGCGGAGCCAGACAAGTTCAAGGCATGGCCCTGCCATTTACCATATGTGAGCTCCTTCACCGTGGCCCCATTTACCTGTCTGAGCCTCAGGAACCTCATCTGTGACATGAGGATAATAATGTATATTTTTGCTGTGATGATTTATGATAACATCTGCAAAATGCCCAGCATGTGCCTGGCTCCATAAACAGTAGTCACCATAATAACTACTACTATTGGGTCCATGGTGGTCTGTGTGCTAACTGATTTTTAATACTGAGTTATTGTATTAGGAAATAAAGAAGCAGTTTAGGAAATAACTATGAAATTAATTTGTTGACAAAACTCAAATTAAGATACATTAATTACTAAGCAGAGAAGCAGATGCTGATATTATAAGGCAAATAAGTAACATGTGAAAAATACCTTCAAAGAGGGAGAAGGGGGTGTCTGGTGTTCTGCATCCATGTTCTCCATAATCTAAGCACCATTCAGCGAACTGAAAATGAGACCAAGTTAAATTACTGAAGTGATTTCTTCTAGAGACCCCTAAAAGTTGACAGAGATTGTCTCTAACATTTACTCTGAAAAGTCAAAAACTATCTTCAAGGCAGAGAAAGGGGCTGATGCAGAGAAATGGATGGTCTAAAAGAGAGTACGAATGAAGCATGGGAGGAATTTAATGAGCTGTCTGAGCCTCATCTCCAAGGTTATCAGAGAAGAAAGAAAGGAACAAAACCACCTTACATCTCCCAGCACTCTCCCAACCCCACCACAAATGCTGCTGAGAATTTAATGAGCTGTCTGAGCCTCATCTCCAAGGTTATCAGAGAAGAAAGAAAGGAACAAAACCACCTTACATCTCCCAGCACTCTCCCAACCCCCCCACAAATGCTGCTGAGTAGATTTATTTCCTTTAAAAAAAAAAAAAAAAGCTAATTCAACTGAATAGCTTTTTAAAATTTTAATTTTTGATTAAAAATTTTTTTCTTCCACAGCAAAACATTTAATGACACATGGGTAGTCTAAAGTTTTAAATAACCAACTAAGGCCGTCCTGTTTATAGAACTGCCCCACCAATGCCCTCTTCTCTCATTTTCTTTTCTTTTCCTTTTTTTAAAAATTTTTATTGGAGTATGGTTGCTTTACAATGTCGTGTTAGCCTCCACTGCACAACAAAATGAATCAGCCATACACATACAGATATCCCCTCCCTTTTGGACTTCCCTTCCATTTAGGTTACCACAGTGCATTAGGTAGAGTTCCCTGTGCTATACAGCGTGTTCCCATCAGTTGTCTATTTTATACATAGTATCAATAATGTATATGTGTCAATCCCAGTCTCCCAATTGCTCCCACCCCACCCCTTCCCCCCTTGGTACCCATACATTTGTTCTCTACGTCTGTGTCTCTATTTCTGCCTTGCAAATACGATCGTCTGTACCATTTTTCTAGATTCCACATATATGCGTTATTATATGATATTTGCTTTTCTCTTTCTGACTTACTTCACTCTGTATGACACTCTTCTAGGTCCATCCACATCTCTACAAATGACCAACTGAATAGCTTTTGAAGGTTTTTCTTAAAGTGTGTTTGTTCTATAGACTTACGGTTTAAAAAAATAAATGAATTAGATCAGATTAACTAGAGACCCTTCTACAGCCTCCTGGGCACAGGTGCGTGTTCTGTCCGGCCGTTCTGACTCCTACCTTGCAGGCCCTGTACAGGTACTTCGCATCCTGCGTGAGGTTGTACAGCGACAGGAAGGCGTAGGCATTCCCTGCGGCGCCGTGGCACAGCCCGTACCCCTTCTTCAGCAAGCCATACTGCCAGATCACATCAGCACACTGATAGGCATCATTGAGATACCGTTCCTCTTTGAACACCTGCAGAGTCAAGGGACATAGTTTTATTACAAGGGATAGAAAAGAAACCTCCACTGACCTCCCTTCCTGATAGGAGAGAAAGGGAGACAGGATAAGGGAGGAGACAGGGAGGTGCCTCGGCAAGAAAGGGTAGGAATACAGAGACAGAGAGATGTGTTATATCAGTGGGGACAAATTACAAGAATTCACTAGTTTTTTTTTTTTTTTTTAAATACATAACTGGGCATGACCTTGTCTGCACGGTGTAAGTTTTATATGTGTGTATGTTTGCGTATGTGGGTGTTATTGGTGCAGTAGCCTTATTTACTTGCAACTTGCTGTTATCATTAGTCAATTCCAAAGAATAAACACTGTCTTTTCTGTAACAATGATACCCTTCACTACTAGAAAGTTTCTTTATACACTGGAGAAGAAACTGCTTATCAAATTGATTACAAAAACTGATTTGATTATAAAACACTATACTTTTCAGAAAAATAGAGATACATCTTTACAATCTATTGTGGCCTCCTATATCTTGATCAAAGGTTTAAAAAATATTATTATTATTATTATTATTTTTGGCCACACTGCATGGCTTGTGGCATCTTAGTTCCCTGACCAGGGATGGAACCTGTGCCCCCTAGAGTGGAAGGATGGAGTCCCAACCACTGGACCGCTTGGGAATTCCTGACATTTTTAATAACTCATTGCAGTAGAGAGGTAGAATAAGACAGTTTTAAAAGTTTGTGCATCATATTTAACTTCCTGAAGGCAAAATCTGATATACTAAACGCTTACTTAGACCATGAGATGCCAGTCCCTATTTAGAGTCTCTAGATTTGTAATTTGTAGAACGGGCACCAATGAACATAGGTATCTTGGTTTACTTCCATTTTTTTCCCCCTCAAAGAAAAACCTTTTTTTCTTTGATTATGGCTCTGTCATAGCATGCTTTTTAGAAGTGATATTTGAATTTTTAAAATTATGGTAAAATACAGATATAAAAGTTACCATCTTAATCATTTAAAGTGGACCATTCAGTGGTATTAATTACATTCCCAATGTTGTATAACCATCACCATTATCTATTTCCAAAATTTTTTCAACATTCCAAACAGAAACTTCGTACCCATTAAGCAATAATTCTCACCCTCCCAGCCCCTATTCTACTCTCTGTGAATTTGCCTATGCTAGATACCTCATGTTAACCATCACATCATATAAGTGGAATCCTACAGTATTTGTCCTTTTGGATATGGCTGGCTTTGCTTGGCATAATGTTTACAAGATTCATGCATGTTGTAGTATGGATCAGAAGTTAATTCTTTTTTATGGCTAAATAATATTCCATTGTATATATACACCATATTTTGTCCATCCATTCATCTGTTGATGGACACTTGGATTGTTTCTACTTTTTGGCTACTGTGGATAATGCTGCTATGGAACACTGCTGTACAAGTATCTGTTTGAAACCTTGTTTTTACTTCTTTTGGGTATATATACCTAGGAGTGGAATTGCTGGATCATATGTTAATTCTGTTTCATTTTTTGAGGAACCGCCAAACTGCTTTCTACAGTAGCTTTAGCATTTTACATCCCACCAGCAATGCCCAAGGAGATTCTTTCTATTTTTAATTGAGCTCCTGGGATATTTATCTTGGCTCTGCCACTGATGCTAATCTTGGCTACTCTACCTGTCCATGAAGCAGTCCCCTGTTCTATGAAATGATGTGTGCTGTGGTACAGATGGATACTGTGAAAATGAATTATAATTCATACAGCAAAGTGATTTTAGGTCCAACAAATGGTTTGGCTATATATTGTTCAAGAATTATACAGAAAACTAATTTTAAATTATAGAATTTTATATTATGTTTTCCAATTTATTTCTAAAAACGAGAAAATTCACGGTACCTTATAGGCCTGAATGAGCATGTAGATTACCCCAGGAGAACCGTGGCACCAATGGACTAGCAGATCCCGAGTATCGTCCACACAAGGAGGGTAATTGCCGGAAGGGAATTTCAGCTGGCAGACATAGTCTACACTGGGCTTGACCAAACTATGTAACTTCCCATGGCTGACTTGAAGGCTGGGCTAAAAACAAGAAAGGGAATTATCAATTCTGCGGAAACAAACAGACCTTCCTAAGGCTCAGGGATGAGTTTTGAATAAGAAGGAAAACATGACCAAAATGAACTGAAAGTCATTAAGAGGTTCTGGATTCCACCCAATTCTTTTACCTATTGGTCCAAACTAAAATTAGGCTATCAGTTAATACTTGGAGCCTTATGTGCGTATTATTTTTCGATATTTATTGTTATCTATATACATATGAATAATTTTCCAAAGCCAATGCTTAAGAATGTGAGTGTGTAAGTTTCCTAAGGTTCTGATACCTTAAATACACTTTAAAGACCACAAAGAGATGCATTAGACAAACCAGGCACAACTTGCATTTAGAGAAGTGATAGGTGATATTTCCAATAGGAGAGGATGCTAACAAGTTGGGAGACCTGGGATCTAGATCCCGAATTGGTGTGACTCTAGATTAAGCCTTTCTGCAAAAGATTTGGGGCTGATACTTATGAAGGATTATTGTGATACAACAATGTATGGATTTATAGGACTCGTTGCCATATGGCATATGAGCCTTCATTTTTGATACAATTTTTAGTTTCTCCTTTTGGTCCTGGTCTTAATTCAATGCACCTCACACTTCTTTAAACAACAAATTCAGTCTTGTCTTTGCCAGGCAGGGGGCGAGCACCTGGGATGAGAGGGAGGGCAGTGCTGTGAAGCACAGGCAGAGGCGGCAGGGAACGAGGAGATACCGACCATAAGGCGCTCACAGATACTGAACACGCAACGAAGTTCTTTAGGGCACATTTAGATTTCACTTTAAAATGCTAGAGTTGAATGACTGGATTCTCCTCAAACTTGGAGGTTATCCAAAATGGCCTAAAAATAATGTTTTATGTTGATACATAGGCACCTACCAGAATGCACTTTTAGGATTAAAAATTAAACCATTTCAAACAGATAATTATGTGCAAATGGAAAATTCAATACTTGGGTTTCCAGGTTTCTTACTACAACCAACACATGGAGGCAGAGGGTAAGACACCTGGTGATCTGCTTCAAAGAAAGGTCATGAGGCCATCCAGTCATTAACATGTATGATTCTAATTCACCTTGAAACTTCAAGGTTTTTCTTTCTTCTTTCCCGAAAACTTTCAAGAATCTATATTTACTTCTGGAAATAGACAGCCAACGAGGGAGTGTGCCAGAAAAGTAAAGGAATTTAAGTCTGAATTGTCAAAACCCCTAATTATAAAACTCTGAATTGAGAAGTGCAGAATAAATACAAGAGTTGGTCTCCTACTGCCACTAACATTCAAAGAGTGACTCTGCATTGAAAAGCAATAATAATCCTGTTTTTCTGGTTTGTTGGCCTTGTTTAGTTATAGGGAGAGGATAGGTCTGATGTTGATTTTGCATTATTATAGCCAGCTACTCAACCAGCTATTGGTATTTATATCCAACCACTCTTGTAGAACATATCAATGAAACACTTTTCTTTATGCCACATTGTACTTTGAGAAGTTGAAGGGGGCACCTTTACCATCGTTAAGAATTCAATATTCTTTTACCATGAATTCTTATTGTTACACAAAGTGCCGATTTCTCCTTAAGGAGAGTTAAACAAGCCCCTGGAAATGATGCTGTCATGAGAAGCCCTCTTCTGACCTCCCTTTCCAGGTTATGCTTGATGCAGTAAACTCTATTGGCTTTGGCTGATGTCCCCCAATAGTTTTAGATCCGAGGAACCACTGAGCATGGCATATTCAGCTATTTTGCAGGTAAGTTACACAAAATCCACTGCAGAGGCTCCTTAGTTTTGCTCTCTAACTGAGCTTTAGGCAGCATATTCTCCTTTGTTTTCTACTGATTTGGTTCTTACTCCTGAAATTTGTTTCAATGGGTTGTGCCTTATAGTGTGGAATAATACTAATTCAAGGCATCTGCTGAAAGAGAAGAGCAGAGCAGAAGGCACTTCATCTAAAAGAATAGGTCAAAACACTTTAGTCTGCACAAGAGGCAGGAGGTGGGCAAGTGTGCTCACCTACAAATCAATCATCTCAAAGCACACTGGCTGGCTTTTACGTTTACACACTTTAAATGCACTTTCACAAGCCCTGTCCCTGTTTACCTAGGCCAGGTGATTACCAGGAGAGTGATGCAGTGGTTGGCAGAATGAAAAAATAAAGCTGGAGCACCTGTCTTCTCACCCTAGATAGTATAGTCAGGAATCACATTCTAGCTCCATCATCATCCCCTCTTACCTGCATCAGGTAGTAATAAATTCCTGCCAGGCCATGAGCGGCCCCCACGTAATATTCTTGGTACCATTCATACAACAGTGGAGTCTTTCCTGTGAAGTTTCTCTTTCTAGCTAGGTCTTCTCCAGAGGTTAAGACTGTTTCACAAATCTGCAGGGAGAAATTGACCGAAATAAGGAAAGAATTAGAATGGCACCAAGGAACTTTTTGCTAAGAGGTACTGGAGAACATGGCAAATTCGACACCACCTGATGGCCATGGACGGGCACAGTTTGATTCTGTACTCAGAGAAGCACATGGGATTATTCTGCCTAAAAGAGGGAGAGTCTGGAAGATTTTGAACTCTTTCTACTACAGCTCACAAGAATTCACCTGTCAAAGGAAAGCAAAGCTCCTTCAGATACGAGAGGAACACCTGCACCTTGGAGGTGAAATCTGGCCCGTATTTTCCTCTGAATGGCCTCTAAACTCTCAAATGGAGCAGCTGGACTTCTTAGTCCAAGTCACTCTCTATACAGTTTCCAACAGCACTCCAAGTGAAGCTGCTGTTTCTCTGATCATGCCTGACCTTCAGAGGTTAAGATACACCTTACCTTCCAGCTACCTGGGATGTGCCAACCAGGGAAACAAAACCAGTAGTTTAGGCAGATAGTAGGTGGGATCCTAAAAAGACTCCAGAAAGCACAAAAACGCGGTACCTGCTGAATATGGCTTTGAGGAATCTTTTCCACTCCAAAGTTCTTATTCACAAAGAGAAGAGCACAGATGTAGCCCATTCGTCCATAGAGCATTTCATTTGGAGCATGGGGATCAATCTTATTTAGGTGAATTAGCCTGGGAATAAAAATACATGCTTAAGATAATGTAAAAGGGACCAGGTAGAGATATATACTTAAAAAATGATATGGGGCTTCCCTGGTGGCGCAGTGGTTGAGAGTCTGCCTGCCAATGCAGGGGACACGGGTTCGTGCCCCGGTCCGGGAAGATCCCACATGCCGCGGAGTGGCTGGGCCCGTGAGCCATGGCTGCTGAGCCTGTGCGTCTGGAGCCTGTGCTCCGCAACGGGAGAGGCCACAACAGTGAGAGGCCCGCGTACCGCCAAAAAAAAAAAAAAAAAAAGATATGTTTAAAACACACACAAATATATATATAGTTATATATATACACATATATGGAATTATTATATTATTTTAAATATATAATAATAAAATATATAAAATATAAATATTTAAATATACTTACATATTATAACCTATATATTATTATACTTTAAATACTAAGAGGGCTGGGCCAGACCACAAAGGGTAATAATCAGGGTTCAAAGATGAACCATCAACTACATTTCTTTTCTTCAGCCCACAATGGAACTGACAAATAAGAAGTCCAAAGAATGAAGGAATACATGAGTGTGGCTGGGACCACCTGCAGCCTCCCTAGCCCCTCATGGCGGCATGCTCTGAGACCAGCAGCCAAGACCTACTGGCTATTATAACATTCAGTCTGAGGAAAGGACTAAGTCAACACTCAAAGGGCCTATTTCCATAAAATGAAATGCCTGCTGCACCCCAGTTATCTCCTTGCTTGATTTATTTCTTAAATGTGTCATCTGGCCTAGCTGAAGTGTTTGTATAGCAGCCTGAGTTACCACAAACGGTAGCACATACCGACAAGCACAAAGGGATCAGTCTCCCAGCTCTTACTCCTTCTCTTTAGAAATAACCATGATTACCAATATCTTGTATATTCCTAGAACTATTGTATGCACATAGAAGAATACATATACTTATTTCCCCAAGTGTTTTGTGGCTTTGTTATTTAACAATACATCTCGACAACCATTCCTTAGCATCACATACAGAGTGATCTCATTCTTTATCACAGTTGTACAGTATTCCACTGAATGAATGTATTATAATTTATTAGCTCCCTATTGATAGACTCAGTTCAGCTTCTCAAAAAAAAAAAGTTGTTTTCGGTACTGGTTCCAGGTCAGGTGGAGTAATTAAGCATATGCCAACCTGCCTTTCCCAGTCAGTATATGTAGCTCCAAAACCTAGAGAGAATGTGTGAAGCTGCTACTGAGAACCCTGAAAACTAACCAGCAGCCAGCAGGATGGGGATGACCAGAATCTGAAGTACTGCCAAATCAGTGGTGAGCTTACCACATGTTCCCCTCTGGGATTTCCCTGGCCTGAACTCAGTGCCGCCTGAAACCTGGAAGTGGGCATCAAAGTGCTGACAGAGACAGTCCTGGAAAGAGCCCTTTAGTTTTTTGTTTTTTTTTTTGCGGTACATGGGCCTCTCACTGTCGTGGCCTCTCCCGTCGCGGAGCACAGGCTCCGGACGCGCAGGCTCAGCGGCCATGGCTCACGGGCCCAGCTGCTCCTCGGCATGTGGGATCTTCCCAGACCGGGGCACGAACCCGCGTCCCCTGCATCGGCAGGCGGACTCTCAACCACTGCGCCACCAGGGAAGCCCCAGCCCTTTAGTTTTATCTCAAGAAAGACCAGGAGGGGGAACTCTTAATATCAGAGAGAGTGGTAAAACACCTCATTTTTCTTTATTTTCATTTTTCTGTTGTTTCACTCCCTAGGCCACAAGCAATCTCATGGTGGCAGCAGAAGCCAAGGCAACAGGAGCCAAAACTCTGAGGGAGGGACCTATCCTCACTGACTGGAGGGGCTGTGGTCCCAGGGTTGAGGGGGCGAGGGAAGGCCCATTGCCTCACTTCTTCTAGCCTCCCCATCACTTGACCCCCAAGATGCAGGCACATTCGTGGGAAGTGTGTGCCTGAGTAGGATAACCAAAGCCTCAGATTTCTATCCAGAGAACCAACAAGGGAAGTACCAGGGAACCAGAAAGTAGGTGGAGCTCACAGAGGGATAAGAGCTCAGGGACGCAACTGTACTTATAGTCTGAACTCTGAGAAAGAACCTTTTTTTTTTTTTTTTTTTGGGTCAGTGGGGGGCAGGAAATATGATAGGTAGGGAAAATGTCCTTGCTATTCTACATTTTTCATCACATACATTTTTCATGAAATTTTGAAAGCACATCCCAATTATCCTTCAATTATTCTATAAATTCAATGTGAGACCATTTAAATTATTAAAACAATTTAATTTTTTGTGAAACTGGACAAAGTGATATTGGTATACTAAAAAAGGATGGGGGGTAGAGTCAGGGAATTTCTGGAAAAGAGTAGTGAGAGGACATTAGCCTTACCAAAAAAATGACCTTGTCACCGGGTAGCTTATGACATTAAACATGCTATTTAATCTCTATACTTTAAATTTCTCATCTATAAAATGAATGGTCCCTTCTGATTGAAAAATGTATTTTTAAAAGTAGTTACGTATAAACAATGCCTGTGTATGTATATTATGTAACTTTATATACTAAGAATGGTTAATAAGCATTTGAAGTATCAAAAATCGTATCCTTGGAGCGATTGGTTATATTTGAAGTATTCTAGTAAGGAATCAACATTCAGAGAGACTTGGCGCTTCAAATAACTTTATCAGAATTTACACCAGAGGATTTGATAATAAGTGTAGTAAGGAATGTTAGAAAATGGATTTCGTTGGTGGAATGAGTGGTGAAGATGGGTGGGACATTTGGGAGATGGTACAGGCTCTAGCACCGTTTGATGAGTAAGATCTAAGAAGGGTCAAAGGATGATGTGGCTTTCTCTGAGCCACAAGAACAGGGCAGAGGACTGGTGTGTGTGTGTGTGTGTGTGTGTGTGTGTGTGTGTGTGTGTGTGTGTGTGTGTGTGTCTTCTTCCTAATAAATGTTTGTACATTTGGTAGACTTTGGTTAACTGCTTGTGCCTTCATTTACTGAGTGGTAAGGTGATAGCTGAGAGGGTATATAGCCCCTACCTCTAATCTCTGGAGGCAACCAATATCTACAAACAAGAAAACAAAAACCTAACAGTTGCTACCACCAGGCTATACATCAGTAGGTAGGGAGTCCTAACTCTGAAAGGAAGGTACTTGTGAAAGAGAAAACAATCCTCCTCTCCCAACCCTTCCCTCCTCATTTCCACCAGCCTGTGGTGGGAGGGGAACACTTAGGCTTAAAAATGAAGAAGACGTGTTTAAATAAGCAGAATGAGATGATTTTAGTGAGTAAAAAGGGCTTACAGTTATGAAACAATGACTGAGAAAAAGTTATGAAAGCATCCTTAAGGGAACTTACTCCCCAACAGGAAAGAGGGGTTTGAAAAAGCTTAGCTGGTTGCAGTTACTGACAAAGTTAAATTTGTCCATATTATACCTCAACAAATGGAGGCATCTCAATCAAATTGGTTAAATATGCAAATGTTGGCTCATGCATTTTTCTCTATTACAAACACAGGCATCTAACTCACAGTGTAACAGTGGTTATGTTAGGAATAGGGACACAGTGGTCAGAGGTTGCTTTCAATTTTCTTGTAATACCTTGATTGACTTTTTCCCCCCAGTGCCAACAGAGTTATCTGGGTGGTTATGAACCATTTTTTTCTACTTCAATACCACACACACACACACAGACACACACACACACACACACACAAAATACCCCTAATATTTTTAAATAACTTAAAAACATTTATTAAGAAAAATTCTATTTTTTTCTCACACCAGAACTGGCAGCTCAGTAATGTTGACAGCTTAATAAAATCTGTTACTAGATACAAACTCAACTGTTGTAGTAAACAGAATGAACATCTCAGAGTTTTCATAAGAATTTATTATCGAGTTTTTTTTTTTTTTTTTTTTTTTTCTTGCGTTATGCGGGCCTCTCACTGTTGTGGCCTCTCCCATTTGCGGAGCACAGGCTCCGGACGCGCAGGCCCAGCGGCCATGGCTCACGGGCCCAGCCGCTCCGCGGCATGTGGGATCTTCCCGAAACGGGGCACGAACCCGCGTCTCCTGCAACGGCAGGCGGACTCTCAAGCACTGCGCCACCAGGGAAGCCCTATTATCGAGTTTTAATATGTGTATCAAACTGTATAGAATTTAGAGATAGAAAAGCACTCTTGATTTTTGTAAAGCGTATTGAAAGAACTATTCAAAGAGGGAAATGACTATCAATTTTTTAAACAAACACTGCTCTATGGGAGTTACTAAAAACAGTTATTGAATATTGCATTAACTCCAATGATGTTCTCACCTAAATAAAACGTGTTTGAACCACTGAATCAGAAAACACCGTTTCTTTATTTGCCAATGCTATGACCTGCATTACCACTAGGTGGCGATATATAATTAGCATACCAATTATTTTGCAACCAAATATATTTGCATCCGGGAAGTTGATAGCAGGTACCTTTCAAATACTCGAAAATAAAGTATTGTTCAGTGCATCTCATTATAATAATACTTAAGAAGGAAGTATTCCATTTTTTCTGGATTTAAATTCATTAAAACTCATTAGTTGCATGTATCTAACCCAGTGTTCATAGTGCACTATTTACAATAGCCAAGACATGGAAGCAACCAAGCAACCTAAGAGTCCAGTGACAGATGAATGGATAAAGAAGATGTGGTATATATACACAATGGAATACTACTCAGCCATAAAAGAGAATGAAATAATGCCATTTGCAGCAACATGGCAGGACGTAGAGATTATTATTATAAATGAAGTAAGTCAGACAGAGAAGGACAAATATGATATGATATCACTTATATATGGAATTTAAAAAAATGAAAAAATGAACTTATTTACAAAACAGAAACAGTCTCACAGACAGAGAAAACAAACTTATGGTTACCAAAGGGGAAAGGGTGGGGGGAGGGATTAATTAGGAGTTTGGGATTAAAATATACACCCTACTACATATAAAATAGATAATCAACAAGGACCTACTGGGTAGTCCAGGGAACTGTACCCAATATCTTATAATAACCTATAATAGAAAAGATTCTAAAAAAGAATATATATATATATTATATATATATATAACTGAATCACTTTATTGTACACCTGAAACACAATATTGTAAATCAACCGTATTTCAATAAACGTTAAAAACAAAGTCAGAAAGAGAAAGACAAAGGAAAAAAACTGTTGGTACGTTCCCTAAAAAAATAAAAAAACTTATTAGTTGGATCTGACAATTACTAAAAGCAGGACTTTAAATCCATGTTTTACATGCTATATTCTTAAGATAAAATGAAGAAATGGCAGCATTTATCAATCAAATGGTTATTTTATATGTTTTCAGAAACTCTCAAACCCATATCATTGCAGCTCCCATTTATTTGTTTTGCTATGTTGATATTAATATCAGCTGATCTTTAGAAGAGGCAAGTCACTGAAGGAAGAAAAAAGACATATAAAAACAGGATAATTCTGTTCCACTCCTAGCAATATTTCCCCAGGGTGTTACTGGGAGAGTTTTTGCCTTTTGTCATCAAAAGTTTGTAACTTTTTAAAAAGAAGTCCTTTTCTTACTCATCACACTACAAAAGAGACAGGGTATAACATTTTCTGACCAGAAAGCCAAAGTGCTTCATCACTCTTAAGTGCTGGCCCCAAAGCATGCTATATGCTATAGTCACTTAACTGGGTACAAAACAGGCAATGCTCTTTATTTGTGTAGTGACACCAACTATCTCTGTATAGAAGGAAGGGAGAAAACAGACAGTATAAATCAAGCAGTAGGAAGAACTAGTGCTATTTATTATCTTCCCCAACACGTGCTCCAGACAACTGCAGGACAATTTGGACATGCTCGCACACACATGCACACACACTCCTTCTGGGGAGTCACAGACCCCTCCAAGAAAAGTGTAATAAATGTTCTCTCCATGTTGAATGCAATTTGGGGGTTTTCTATATACCTCTGGAAGCCCTAAGATTCTCAAAATTCCAAAGCGAAGAACTCCTACCTTAGGGAAACTGATTTCTTTGGATTTCAGTTTGTCTAAGGATTAGACTTTCATTAATCCCAAAGGTCCTTCTGGTTTCTAAAACTCAAGATTATGATTCTGAAAGACCACTATATTAAGCAAATACAGGAATGGTAAGCTGAAATACTATGCTGGCAGTAGAGCACAACACAGACACCACATGGAGAATATGAGTGTCTGTGATATAAAAGGGCTGTGTGATATGAGGAAAAAGGTGAGGTAAAAAGTAAAACAAGGGCTTCCCTGGTGGCGCGGTGGTTGAGAGTCCACCTGCCGATGCAGGGGACGCGAGTTCGTGCCCCGGTCCGGGAAGATACCACGTGCCGTGGAGCGGCTGGGCCCGTGAGCCATGGCCGCTGAGCCTGCGCGTCCCGAGCCTGTGCTCCGCAACGGGAGAGGCCCGCGTACCGAAAAAAAAAAAAGTAAACAAGTAAGTAGGTTTATTAAATAATTGATGACATCAAGTAATGTAGGATTTCCTGAAATTGAACTGAAAAGACTTAGAAATTTTTCCCTTAAAAGGGAGGAGATGTGAAAGTAATTTACAAATAATTCTTTTTTTCTTTCTGGTCTGCCTTGAACTCTAGAAATCTAAAAAATTAAATCTTCATCCACAAACAGGCTATTTCCTATCATATTATCCACATTTTATATTTTTAACCTTAGCAAGTCTATAAATAAAATACTGTTGAAATGTAATAAAAAAAGATATAAATAAGAAAAACACCTTCAATACCAAGGTATCAAAAAACAAAAGAAATTTTAGTTTACTCTGTTAAGAGTGTTTTTTAATAAACCAGTATTAATATATGGTATTATTTCCCAAAGAGTGTTAGAACCACAGGCCTGAAGATGTCCTGAGGAAAAAGGGCTGCCTACATGACAAGCGTGGCAAATTCTGTTCCCTAGAGTCCCCTGGGTTTCCCCCAAGTATAAAAGCTACTGAACACTCTGAGCAGTCAGTAAAGGCACATATGTAACTTTGTTCAATTAGTGTTTCCGCACTGTGTCTGAATACACAACTCTTGTTTTCATTTAATACCTATTAACATTCTTCACATACCAAACTATTACTATTTGGCTGTACATATTTTGAGAGAGGCTGGCATTATATATAGACTATAAAGGCCACTACTATTTATTCTTATGAAAGTTAAGAGTGATTCATTGAATGAGACTTGCTTGTGAACCTCTAAAGCAGAGGGATCCTCAACAAATAAAATAGAAATGATAATGCTATTCTAACAGTAATTTATAAGAATGAATAGTGGGAATCAAAAACCATGGTCAACTCAGAGATGACCACTAATTAAAATGTTGCCAGACCCACTTAAAAAATGGGCTAAACTTTAACAGACACTTCACCAAAGAAGATATACAAATGGCAAATAAGTATATGAAAAGATGCCCCGAGACATATGTCATCAGAGAAATGCAAATTAAGCTAACAGTGAGATACGAGTACACATCTATTAAAATGGCCAAAATCTGGAACACTGACAACACCAAATGCTGACAAAGATGTGGAGCAACAGGAACTCTCATTCACTGCTGCTGGGAATGCAAAATAGCACAGCCACTTTTGAAGACAGTTTGTAAGTTTCTCTTAAAACTAAATATAGTCTTACCATACAGTCCAGCAGTCATGCTCCTTGGTATTTACCAGGAAGAGCTGGAAACTTATGTCCACACAAAAACCTGCAAATGGATGTTTTTAACAGCTTTGTTTATAACTGCCGAAACTTGGAAGAAACTAAGGTGTCCTTCAGTAGGTGAATGAATACATAAACTGTGGTACATCCAGACAATGGAATATTATTCAGCTCTAAAAAAAAATGAGCTATCAAGCCATGAAAAGACATGGAGAAATCTAAATGCATATTACTAAGTGAAAGAAGCCAATCTGAAAAGGCTACATACTATACGATTCCAACTCTGTGACATTCTGGGAAAGACAAAACTGTGGAGACAGTAAAAAGACCAGTAGTTGCCAGGGGTTAGGAAGAAGAGAGGAGGGATTAATAGGCAGAGCGCAGAAGATTTTTAGAGCAGTGAAACTACTCTGTATGATACTATAATGTTGGATACATGTCATTACACATTTATCCAAACCCATGAAATGTACAGTGCCAAGAGTGAACTACAGACTTTGGGTGATTATAATGTGTCAATGCAGGTTTGTCGATTGCAGCAAGTGTACTCTGGTGGAGGATGTTGATAACAGGGGAGGCTATGCATGTGTGGGTCATGGGGTATATGGGAAATCTCTGTACCTTCCTCTCAGTTTTGCTGTGAATTGAAAACTGCTCTAAAACAAGTCTATTAAACAACAAAACAAAGAAATCTCTGCTGTAATTGCAACTATCTGCATGTTAGCATACTTATGGGGAGCCTAATAGCACGGCATGAAGACTTGCATGGCAGCCAGATTTCTTAGTAGAATTCTGAAAGAGTGTTCAATAAACTCTACTAAAGCAAAAACTGTAGTATATTTGTACAAAAGTTTCATAATTCTTCATGATTCACAAAATTCTAGTGGGTTGCCCTGATTTACATTAAAAATGAAAATCTGGATTTGCATGTCATTTGCCTGTAAGCAAAGCAGTTTTGACTCTGTGTCCCCTTCGGAGGCCTCTCCCAGCCCACTGCAGCACGTGCACCATGTTTCTTCAAATTATTGATCCTGGATAGCACCCTGGATTAGTAATCACATGATTAGGCTTTTGATCTCATTTATGCTAAGGAACTGATGTTTGATCTGGAACATGTCAGTGTCATTATATATTTTTTTTATTTTAATTTTTAAATTTATTTATTTTTTGGCTGTGTTGGGTATTCCTTGCTGCACGTGGGCTTTCTCTAGTTGTGGCGAGTGGAGACTACTCTTGGTTGCAGTGCGCGGGCTTCTCATTGTGGTGGCTTCTCCTGTTGCGGAGCACGGGCTCTAGGGCGTGCGGGCTTCAGTAGTTGTGGCTTGTGGACTCTAGAGCTCAGGCTCAGTAGTTGTGGCACATGGGCTTAGTTGCTCCTCAGCATGTGGGATCTTCCCGGACCAGGGCTCAAACCCGTGTCCCCGGCCTTGGCAGGCGAATTCTTAACCACTGCACCACCAGGGAAGCCCAGTGTCATTATACCTTGCAATAAAACAAGGATTATAATGGTTGTTCCTTAACTACAACTCAGGAATAATGTGATTGATCAAATGACAGAAGTAAGATTTACTGCTGAGAGAAAACTAAATTCAATAATGTGTTCTTTTGCTAACACACACAGAATTAAGGCATAATGTTTAGATAACAATTCTCAGAAAGAAACATGATTACCGGGTGAGGTAGTCTTCTGCCCGCTTCTCATTGTTCATCTTGTGATGCACCACAGCAGCCACTGCCAGGGGACCCCCATCCCCACAAAGGAAGGTGATGGAATGCTTGGTCAAACAGTTCAGACTTTGCTTTACATAGTCATGTGCCTTCTGCAGGTAGCTAGGGTCCCCAAACACATCATAGAGGTGTAAGTAAAGCACAGCAATACCTGAAAAGCAAAAAGAAAATCATGTGCAGATGAGGAAAGAGCAGTTGACTGTATTATTTTGGTGTACTGTCTACTCAGCAGTGTTGATTTTTGATAAGCTATAACAAATACATAAATTATCTGGAAGTTCAGATGACCTTAGTCTAGACTCAGCTTTATTACTAAGCAGCTCTAAGAACAGTAGGCAGACACTTCCTTGTTCTCAGTTTCCTCATCATTACAACTCTAAATTAAAATAGGAACTCTAGGAACTCTAAACCCAAGTTTAATATTAATCCTTGTTGCACTCTTGGCTATTGTGCTGATGTATTCTTTTTGATGGTTAAAATGATAGGTAATCAACCTTTGGTAAATAATCACCTATTTATTTTACAAATAATAATTTACATAATAATAAACAAGAAATGTTTGTTCTTATGAGCTAAAGAAATTCAAAGACTAGAGAATGAAAAACTAGATTTTTCTTTATATAGAAGATCATTTTTTGCATGAGAAGACAGGTAGAGTAACCAAATCCTCTATCCCAGTATTGTTCCAGGCAGGGGATTATAAGAAAACTATTAAGTTATTTGAGATCTAAGAAAATGTATTCAGTTTCCCAATTTTTTTTTCACTGTTAAGGACCCAGCCACTTTAGGAACTATACTAGAAAAGCTGCCAATGCCTTTTGCTTTGGGCTTTACTTGACTTGCTTCTTATCCTACTCTTGAAACCTGCTATATGTAATTGAGGCCTTGTCTGCATGTCCTCATTCCAAATGCCTGTCACAGTAGATAGAGCCTTTCCTCTGAAGCTGACTAGTCTCAGGGCAGACTCAAGGATGTGGGGTAGGGAGCCTGCTTTCCTGCAGCATTTCCAGAAACTCATTTCTCCCCTTAAAGTACATTTTCCATCTCATTTACCAGTTTTAGAAGACACAGAACCTCTGTCTAAATCTAAATTAACAGAGCCAATCTCTTTATGGATTTCAATGCAGTAAAAATGCAGTTTGCAAAATTACTTTTCACTGTACTGAGAACAATTTTAAATTTAGATAGTTTTCTTATCTTGCATGGGTAATTTCCAAAGCTTTGTGCTATAGACAATTCAATTTCACATGTATATTAAGGCCACATTTTCATTTTCTGCCAAAGTTAATAACCTTGTCTACTCTTTCAGAGTGACTTGGTATTAGTAATTCTACAAGCTGCTGATCAGATGTACAATACTTAAGCTTTGTAGACATAAGTGTACAAAACCTGTACGTGGGTAAGAAAAAAATTCTGCTTTTCACAAATGATCAATGTCAAGAGCTTCTTCTAGAATTAGGTCCTTAATAGGCTTCATCTCCATCCATACCAGGCATCTGCAGGCAATCCGTTTAAATTGTTACCCTTTCATTTTGCCCTCCTGTTCCCATCACTGCCTGTACTCCCCTAATTAAGTCATGTAGGCACCGAGGCCAGATAATGACATGACTGAGATCTGAGAAAATAAAAAGTGATTAAATACAAGCCCAATGATGGTTTTCCTTTTCAGACCTTTGTCTCTTATTATCAACAATTCCTCTTGGCCTAAACACTTAACAAACAAAACCCATTAAGGTGTGCAATTTTAAGGTTTGATGCATTTCTCATGAAAAACAGGTAATCATTTCTCAAGTCTCACAATATTTCATTTAGATGAAATTTTTTTTTTTTCTTTTTGATCAGCAGAGAATTAGCTTTCCATCACCTCAGGTTCTGTTTCTCTCTGTCTTTTCATTCTGGGCCTCTGTGTCTGCATATTTTGATTAAGCAGTCTTCTGTAGGTTGTAGTTTACAGTGCCTACCTTCTTCCCTGCTACAGGACACTAAAGGATGAAAAGGGTTTCAAGTGAGGAGTGCTGCTGCCAATCAGAAAAATCCTCCTGGACAACGTTATTACAAATCAGTCTAGGTCAGGAAAATAAGACAAAATGCCTAAGTCAAAGACATTTAATGCCTCATCAATATTGTATACCTCAGGTGGCCTAATTTAATAATAGAAAAAATGGGGGAATTGCCTGTGACCAAATATCCTGAACTTGATTCTTATGATCTTCTAACCTTTGACAATATTCACGCATATAACAACACCTTTGCATAAATACTGAAGGCTGAGCAATAATTGGCAAGGTGGGAAATAAAAACAACTTCAAGGGCTCTGCAGGGTAAACTCATCCAGTCCTTATGTGTACTCACAACTGTGGCCTCAGTCCATGCTTTTAAAAACTCTTTTCAAAATGTAATTTTTCAAAATAAAGTTGTCCTTCATGGAAGAAGTCAAACAGTACTATAAGGCTTAATATGTATGCATTTGCAGTCTCCTGCCCAGTCTATTCCTGTCTCCCAGAAGCAACCACTTTCAATCATTTTATCTATTTCCTCTAATATCTGCCTCCATATTTCTAATAATATGCTATGTACTTTCTCTTGATTTTTCTTTATCAGTTATTTTTGACTCACATCCCACTCTGGAAGATAAGGATTTAGCTCTTATAATAGACACTGCTAAGTGGTCCCCCCAAATCTATCTCCCTCTTCTCTAAACAATACTTCCCTGGATTTTAGCTAGGCACATGGCGGCCCAGAACAGTCTCCTTTGCAGATGGGTATGGCCATGTGCATGGGTAAGTTCTGACCAATAAGACACAGTGGGAATAATGGGGGTAAATTCAGAAAATGTTCTTGAAGGGAGGGGACCTGCCATTTCTTCCTTCCTGGCTGGAATGCAGATGTGATGGTGTAGCTGGAGCAGCCATTTTAGACCATGAAGTGGCAGCTCTGTGATGAGGATGGTAAAGCATCAAGATCAAAGAAGCTTAGAACCCAAAGGACTGTGAAGCTGCTACACACTGATTGCCTTACACAAGACAGAAATTCTGTTGTGTTAAAGCCACTGTTATTTTTGGTGCATTCCCCTTATGCTAGTAAGCCTACTCCTAAAGAATACAGCTCTCTTCAAAGCTGGGGAGGTAGGCTGAAAGTAGACCACATAGGGTCTTGTAAACCAGCTCAGGATTTCTGGTTTTATTTGAAAAGCACCATTCAAGAGCATAATTAAATTTGTGTTTTTAAGAGTTCACCGTAATTGAACTGTAGGGTTTGGAAAAGAGTATATGGCACAGTGGATGCAGGAGGAGCAATTTCAGAAGGATAGTTCAGGAGCACAGGCGAGAGACAAGAGTAGCTGCAGCAGAGATGACGTGAGACTGAACTGGAAAGATACTTGTCTTGGAAGGTAAAAGTCAACAGAACCTGGTGGGGAACGACTGAGAGGGAAATATCAAGATGACTCCCAGATGCCTAACTTCAACAGCTAGATGGGCAATGGTGCCATCCTCTGAGATGGCAAACACCTCTAGGGGAGGGCCAGGTTTGGGAGGGAAGATTACAGTTGTATCCATTCATAAACTCACCTCCAAATACGATTCCAGTCCCTAAAGGACATTTAATATAATGAGAAAGAATGTTTCTTACTGGCTTCTAGGATAACAACCATCAAAACTGGTTATGAGGCTCAATACAGGATGATGAACGGAGTTTAAACTTTTTAATGTGTTTTTTCTTTAATCACAGAATATGTTACTTAATCAAGAATATTCTTGGGCTTAAATTTGAGCAGCAGATAAAATGTCCTTCTATACTGTTTGCTAAGCAAAAGGTAGACTAATCAAGATTTGCTTCCTTCTTCTACCCCTTTCACCTCTTCTTCTAGACCAGAAAAGATTGAAATGAGATTTAAAATTGATTGAATTTAATTGTAAAAATATGCTCCAAATTGTTTTAGACTTTAGAATTATTTTGTTAAAAAAATGGAAGACCACCCTACCTTTTATGAATCTGGATGAAGTTTGACATTTTCATTGATATAAAATTTAAGTTAAATATTCTTCTATTTTTTAGCTGGTCCACTCCATGATAATGACTGTCACAAAGCCATGAAAACTCATGCTTTTGGTCTTAATTTTACTATCTTGTTAGATTTGCTCATATATATGACTTAAACATTCTGATATATTTAAAAAAGAAAATAATCCACCTGAAGAGAGAGATGCTGAGAAATCAGTAAAGCAAAATCGAATCCATTATTTTCCCATTAATTCTCAAGTTATTAAAGGTGACTTTATAATAAATATTTGGGATAATATCGTAATTCTGTTAAGTAATGAATACTTTCCTTCAGGAACAAGAGATTATTCCTACTCTGGATGATGTCTTACTTTATTTCCCAGAGGGTATTGGAAAGTTGTTATAGGGATATCATCTCTATTTTACATGCAAAACCAGACAAATTTAAGTAATATCAGTAAAGTACCATTTAGAATTAAGCATGCGAGTCCGTAATTGTTTTAGAAATGGTATGTTAATTCTGTAGTTATTCACAGCCTTGGAAGCTGACTTGGTGGAGAAGGAACAGACAAGTGGGCAGAGTATCCGCTCTATCCCAGGGGGAAAAAAAACACCATCAGGAAGTAGTTATGGGTGGGGTGTGGACTGAAAGGGGAGCTTCACTTGTGGGAAGCCCGAAATGGAGCAAATGCAGAGAGTACTCCCAGCACGTGGAATTATCTGAGCAAATCCACGTGGACAAGAAGACTAGAGGATGACCTGGTTAGTAAGGCTGGACTCCTTGGGGGGTTCAAATTATTAAAAACTAGACATAGAAATTTAGATCTGATGTTAATCGACTGTCAGTTTATGTAGAGGAGGAGTATTCAAAAACAGCATTTTTCAAAGATAAATTTGGCTGCATGTGTTAGTCCAGGTCCTCTAGGATGGGACTGAATATAAAGGACTTTATTAGGGACATATATAACATGAAGAGTACTGCAGGGCACCATAGCAGCAATTGCATGCTTTGGCTTGGAAGTGACCTCTTCTGGTCCAGGGGTTCCACCCGGGGCCCCTGGACCAGAAGAGGTGGCCTCATCTAACTACAGTGAAGTTGAGAGGTCTTGTCCTCCCGGGACCCCAGGAGAGGGACAACCCGATGTGGAC